TATAATGACCAGGATCAGCCCAAAGCCCATTCCCATGGGGTAGAGATCAGACATACCTCCACTATCCAACCTGTTAACCAATTCTGACACCAGTCATTCCAGCCACAGCACTCTCCACTTCTCTTCTGGGTTCGATAATCTGTTGCAACGGCCACACAAAACTCACAGACCATACTTACAGTTACGTGGTTTATTAAGGAAGCAACAGGATATAACTTGGGATCAGGACCAGGAAGCATGCAGACAAAGTCTCCCTTCTTCAGTGCAGGACAGCTCTCTCAGCTCCTCCTGGCTGTGCAGGCCTCCTTTCGGGCCCCAAGGACAGGCTCCTCTCGGCCCCCTCAAGACAGGCTCCTCTTGGCCCTGCTGTCTGTCACCACCAACTCTGCCACACGGCCCCTGGGCCTCTTGCCGCTGGCTCTGCCACTGGGCTCCTTCTGGGCCTCTTGCTGTCTTAAATGTTATAGCTCTTGACTTGTGTTACAGCTCTTTTGAAGAAGTTACTTTCTTCTTCTCTCTCTCTCTCTCTGCTGCTTCTCTCTTCCTTCTGCTTTTTCCTGCTGCTTCTCTTCCTGCTTCTTTCTGACAAACCTCTGTGGGGTTGGCTGCATATATACACTAACTCCTTGTTGATTTCAAGGCATGGTCCTCCCACCAGGGTCATGAACTGACTAATCCCCTCTCAGCAGGCCACAGACACTTCATTTGCATAGTCTACTGACCAACCCCTGCAAGGTGCATACCAATTACAGGGCAGGTTGCAGCCCGGGACCAGACAAAAAGTATCCAACCAAGCTGTTTATAGCTTACCCAGGAAATGTCAATCAACCTGGACAAAAGGAACAAACCCTCTGGGGTAGAAACTTAGGGCAAAGGTTACTCCTCAAAGCTTAGGGGAAAAAAATCTCTCAAGCTGTTTTTCGAAAAAAACAAGGCAAAAGGCCACATAAAGGAACTCATTTCATCACAATGGCCAAAAAAATGTATTTATTAAACTGTCATGTGTTTATGTCTTGTTTTCCTTACTTAAATGCAGGAACTGAGTCTAACGCACTCGTTTATTTGTTTATTCAGAGACATGTACTGAATACTTTTTTTTATGTGCCAGGCAGTGAAGACGCAACTGTGAATAGAGCAAACGTGGTCCCTGCCTTTATGGAGCTATGCAAGTAAACAGAAAAGTAAAGAGCATCATTACAGCTTGAGATAAGTAAAGGAAGGAAATAAACAGGAATGCTGCGACCGAGACTAGCAGGTGATTGGGGAGGGCTAAGGAAGTGACATTTAACTTCAGAACTGGGGCAAATGGCAGGAAGAGCGTTTCCGATGAAGGAAACTGCAAGTGCAAAGGTCCTGGGGTGGGTTTAAAGGACACAAAGAATTCATTTTTGTCTCCTTCATGATGATGCCTGGCCAAAGGCCCAGGTGTTTGTTGAATTTTAGTTGATCCGTGATTAAGACATGGCAATAGAAGATGGAATGTCAGGGATTCAAACCCTCCAAATCTAGTGCCCGCAACCAGGGTAATGAACACAAGAGGAGAAGCAGGCTGGGAGGGTGGGAAAAGCGACCTCAGTTTTGGATATGTTGAGTTTGAGGTATCTGTGGGGGCCTCTGAAAAAGGCCTGAAAGGGCTTGATTGTAGAGGTACAGAGAGGGGCCAAGCTAAAAGTTCAGCTCTAGGAATGTCATCAGCAAAGATCAGGCAGCTGGTCTGGAATGGGCGGCCCAAGCACAGGACACGAAATGAGAACTGTGCTGGGGGAGGCCAGGCCTTGTGGAATGCCTAGTGTGGAGCAGTAGGCAGAGCTGGACGGGCAGAGAAGTTGGAAGAGACCAGGAGAGGATGGTGCCAACAAAGTCAAGGACAGAAGGGGTGACCCATGGAAGGCATAAGCAACAGAGCTGAGGCTCACGAACTGATGAGACAGGGTCTGGAGTGGGTGATGTGCAAAGGGTCTCGCCATTGGATGAAGTCTGGCTCCTGGAGGTCAAGGAAGACTGTGCAGAGCGAATAACAGTCATGAGGAAGGAAGAAAAGTGGGGAAGACTTGAATATGCCTTTGGGTTAAGGGAAGACCTGAAGATCCCCTCCAGTCCCATCTCCTTCTACGTTCTCCACCCTCACTTTGCTTCTGCATCCTGACCTTTTATTCCTCCAACTCACAATGTCATGCCCACCCCAGGGCCTTTGCACTTGCTGTTCTCACCACCTAGAATGCTCTGTCCCCAGATCTTCCCACAGCTTCCTCTGTCAAGATTCAGCTCCCTGCTCAAACGCAACCTCCTCATCAAAAAGGCTTTCCCTCACCTCCCTGTCTAAGATCACCCCTCCTCACCCCAGGTACTCTGTCCTCCATCACTGTATGTTTTTTGGGTATTTTTTGTTTTTTTTTAACAGCACACATCATGACCTAACTCGATCTAATGAGTTTTCTGGCTTATTGCTCAGCTCCTTTTCTAGAATGTAAACTCCACCAGGGCAGGGACCTGGTCTGGCCTATCTCTGCTGCATCTGCAGCCGTCAGAAGCATGCACGGCACACAGCAGGTCCTCCGTAAGTGCTTGTGACATAAATAAATTCATGCTGAAGCAAGAGGAGGGGTGGGGAGGAGGTGAGTGAAGACAGAGAGAAGAGATGCAGACAGGGCAGGGAGCTCGTGTCAGATAGGAGGTGAGGTTGTTTTCTGGGAATGGGAAGAACAGGGTTGCAGCCTGAAGAAGTGGACAGAGGTTTAGGTCAGCTTCCCCACATCCCGGTAGTTACTATTAATGCCTCTGTTTTAGAGATGGGAAACTTTTCCAGAGGAAAGTTTAAGCAGAGGACTGGGAGACTGTGGTGGGAAACCACTACAGGGTGCGGATCACTGAGGTACAGGAAGTCACGTAGAGGAGACACTACTGCTCTGAGTGTCCTTCAGCTCTCCTGGGGCTGGTGCCCAGACCCAATTCCCAGCTTCAGAATGGGGGCCAAATCCCTGATGACAACGATCTCTTTCTGCTCCCAGATTCTATGACTCCAGGGATGCCCACCACCACCACCAGCAACACCAGCTGGCGTTGAGCTGACTCCAACTTACGGTATGTCAAAGCAGGACTGTACTCTATAGGGTTTTCGATGGCTGTGATCTTTCCGAAGTACATTACCAGGTCTTTCCTCTGAGCTGCCTCTGGGTGGACTTGAACCTCCAACCTTTCAGTTAGCAGCCAAGCTAACCATCTGCACCACCCAGGGACTCCCCCAGGGATGCCCAGAAAAAAAAAAATTAGCTCTAAGTGGGCCCCACTAACTCAAGGCTCCTCTCCCTTTCTCCCACAGGAACCCATAATTCCTTCGGAGAGGGGGAGGAGTAAAGATATAAGAGAAGGCCACTTGAGTACCACAGTGAAAAGACAGACAAACAACCAACCCTGGACTTGGAGCTGCCACACCTGTTTTTGAGTCCCAACCACATCAATCACTAGCTAGCAATGTGACCTTGGATGGGTTCCTTAACCTCTCGAAAGCTCTGCGTCCTCAACTGTTACCTCATGGAAGTCACTGTAAGGAGGAAAAGAGATGACAAATGTGGAAGCACTTAGGTTGGTGCCAGCAGATGGCAGGTGCTGACTATATCTAGGGAAAGACAAGTGGGACATGAGTGATGGGTTAAGAGGACAAGGAGAGGGCTGATGAAGAAGAAAGAGGGAAAAGGAACTTCGAGGAGGAGGGAGAAGAGGAGGGGCCAGTGTGAGAAAGAGCAGAAGGAGGAGCCCTATTAAGTCCCCCAGCACTTCATACATTACTTTATGAAAACACTGTATGGATAGACAGATGAATTTTTAAAAGAAATCATGTGTATGAAAACAAAACGAAAGGCATCACCATTTATCAAATGCTTGGTGAGTGCCAAGCACTTCTGCTAAATGCTTCCACACGCAATAATCTTCTCTAATCAATAGAAATAGAAGCTGAACAAGAGTGGGAAGGCGGAGTCAGGAAAAGGTGCTTGGAGGGAGGTTAGTTGTGTTGGGAGGCTGTGGTCCCCGGCCTCTCCAACGACTCATCCAAAGACCAGGGAGGTGGGGGGCAGAGGGGCAATGGGGAAGTCTGAGGTGGTCTCTACTTTCTCAACCAGTGCCATTTCCTAGACAACACCACATGCCAGCTGTATGACCCTGGGCAGGTTCTTTGCCTCTCTGACCTGTTTCTGCATATGCAAAATGTGGGATGTAATTCCTGCTCAGAGGGCTGTGTGATGAACTGAGATGATGTCAGTAACGGAGGTGAGGCCCACGCTCATCATGAGCACCCAACAGACAGCGTATATCATCGTCATCATCATCATTTTGTGGCTAATTCTTTACATTCACATAATCTCTTTAATTTCTAATTCCCCCCCAGAGGGGTGAAATGGGGTGGCATGCACTGATGACTATAAGAAGGTTAGGGTCTTCAGTGGGAGTTGGGCCCCAGCTCACCATCCGAACCCAGACAAATAACACCCCTTCCACCAGCCCATCCTCTCTTAACACTGCCGCGAGGTAAGGAAGGGGGAAACCGGCTTTCATACTAAAACTCTGTTTTCAGTGAACGAAGCTCATTTATGGCTCTTAACTCATCTCACTCTCATGATGATTTCCATTTTACAGACGAGGAAGCTGAGGCCCAGGGGGCCGAGGCCGTTAGAATCCAGGTCTGCCGATTCATAGTAGGCAGCTCTATTCCACTTCATCTACAAGGGCTCTGGGAAGCCCCAGTGTCTTCAGGCCCAAGAGGACATGAGCAGGGGCAGTGCTTCTCGCAACACTGCGGCACGACTCCGCGTTTGCCGCGTTTTAAAAGCTGCAGCCCCAGCTGCTAGGTGACTCAGCCTCGGTGTCCAGCTCAGGGCCAGCTGTTTGCAAGCAGCACCCTCCACACCGAGAAGAGGTATACTGATCCTCAACTACCCTCTCTCCACCCCTCCCATCTCTGACCCCCACATCCCACCTGCTGCTCCACCAGAGGGGTGTCCTACCTTTTGGGTGAGGCTGGGGTCTCTCGGAGCACTCTCCTCCTCTTCCGAGCTTCCCTGCTCTTCATCCGATGTGAGGTCCTCTTTGGGGGCTGCTGCCGAGATGGGACAGACCTTGTAGGGCTCTGTGTAGGCGCTGCGGTCAGACGGGAGAGAGAGGGTTAGAACTCCCTGTCCAGCAAAGTCAAAGGACACAGGCCAGCTTTGGAGTGATGGCACAAACTGTTAATGAGTGCCTCTGGGTGCAAGGCTCTGTGCCCTCCACAGGGACTCAGAAATGAATAAGACCCAGGTGCAAACCCTGGTCTAAGGGGGAGATAGACTTGTCTGCCTGTTAGATCCAAGGCAGGCTGTGATGCTGAAACCCAAACCCACTGCCGTCGAGTCGATTCTGACTCATGGAGAGCCCATGTATTACAAAGTAGAACTAGGCTCCATAGGGTTTTCCTGGCTGTGATCTTTACGGAAGCAGACTGCCAGGTCTTTCTTCCATGCCACCACCAAGTGGGTTCGAACCACCAACCTACAGGTTAGCAGTTGAGCACAAACCGTTTGTGCCACCCAGGGACCCAAAGTAATGGTGAAGGAAGGTTCATATAGTTCACTATGAGAGCAAGAGATGCTCAGGGCCAGCTGTTTGCTGTTCGACTGGCCCAGGCATTTGGATGGGTGTGGTCAGGCAGCAGGGTCAGTCCTCAAGGTGGCTGTGGTCTCTAGCACTGAATAGGGATGTCATGATGTGACAGAGAGAGCCCAAGACGAGCACCCAGACCCTAGCTCCAGTCTTGCCATCAGCTAGATCAAGGACAAGACACAGCTCTTAGTGTTTCAGTTTCTACCTGGACTAAATGGGGATAACGATTCCTGTCTCACCTTCTTGGCAGGTGCTGTGAGGCTCAATGCTTAGAAAGCTTACACAGGTGTGATAACCATCTCACAGTTATGTACCGGTGACTATTACAAAGACAATACCATTAATTTAACTAAATAATTAATACACACTCAATACATATTTATTGATTGCCTACTCTATGCCAAGCATGGGGCTAGGTACTGGGTAAACACTGGTGAATAAAGCAGATATGGTCTCTGTCCTCAAAAAGTGAACTCATAAATGATCACCAATTGTGACAAGTGAGAGAAGACAAAGTGCTTTCACAGGGAATAATAAAGGAGGAGCCCTTAGACAGGTCAGCTTCTCTGAGGCTGAGACCAGAAGGAGAAGGAGAAGCCAGCCTTGCGACAGCATAGGGAAGTGGTCCAGGCAGAGAAAGGAGCATGGGTAAAAGCACCAGGGCAGTGAAGTGCTTGGCACACTCAAAGAACTAAAGAGGCCAGTGTGGTTGGAGTGGGTGAGCAGGAAGGGTAAGTGTGCAGGGTCGGGGTGGGAGCTAGGCCTTATAAGGACATAAACAAACATAAAGCAGGACTCTCCTTTCTCTGAGGCCACAGCTCCGTGCCCCAGCCTTCCTCTCCATACAACAGAGTGTTCTACAACAGAGATCAGGCCATACCCCTCTCCTGCTCAAAAACCTTCAATGATCCATCAATATGCTGTCTACAAGAGACACACCTTAGAAACAAAGATGTGAATTTATTAAAAGTCAAAGGCTGGAAAAAAATACATCATACCAAAACCTCTGGGACACAGCAAAAGCAGTCCTACAATTTATAGCAATAGATGCACATATCAAAAAAGAAGAAAAGGACAAAATCAAAACATTAACGACAGAACTCAAACGAATAGAAAGATAACAGCAAAAAAAGCCCACAACCACCAGAAGAAAGGAAATAGTAAAGATCAGAGCAGAAATAAATGAAATAGAGAAGAGAAAAACAATAGCAAGAATCAACAAAACCAAAAGTTGGTTCTTTGAAAGAATCAACAAAATTGACAAACCACTGGACAGACTGACAAAAGAAAAACAGGAGTGGACACAAAAAACCCAAATAAGAAATGAAATGGGGGACATTA